AATAACAGTCATATTAACAGGTCTTCCTTGTAGGCGTATGGATATTATCCTATCACTGACAGCATTGTACTTCAGGACAGATCTTGAAACCTCCTTTTAAAAATCTTGCTTTCAATTTCTATCACAGAATTTTTTTTCCTATTGTTTTAATAGAAGCTCTGGTGGTGTAGTGCATAAGGCATTTGACTGCTAACCAGAAGACTGGTGGTTCAAATTCACCAGCCACTCCTCAGAAGGAAGGTTGAGCAATCTACTGTCATAGTGATACCACCTCAGAAACCCAAGGAGGGGTCGCTATGAGTCGGATCTGACTCAGTGGCAGTTGAGTGTTGTTTTAATGTGTCCCTTGAAAATAAGGAGCCCTGGTGGCACACTGGTTAAAGCACGTGGCTGAGAATCAGAAAGCTGTCACTTTGAACCCACCAGCTGCTCCACTAAAGAAAGCCTAAGAAAACCCTGTGGGTAGTTCTAGTGTGTCCTCTAGGGGCACTATTAGTTGGAACTGGCTTGATGGCAGTGGGTTTGGTTTGTCATTTGTTTGAAAAACAGATCAAACATGTGCATCCTGAGCCAAAATGGTGATTTTTTCGGGAGATCTCAACACTTCTCACTTGCAACCTAAGGACAACTCTGAAAAGACCTTTTGAAAGAACGCTACAGTACTATTTCCAGTTCTCTGCAAGATCAGGAAATTTACACATGGGAGGACAGGCTGAACTATTAGGTATGTCTATGCAAGGGGAGTGTGCCTAAGACCATGCCCAGGGTTGGCAGACAATGTTTCTGCAAGTGTATTGCTATGTTGTGTAAGAATTCCCAGGTATAGAGTAGAGCTGACAAGGGACAAGTCACTTCTTGGCCACAGCCAGCTACCCAGAGGGAGCAAGTAGTTAGACCCGTGGGTTCTGGACCATAGCTGCAGGAGACATCGAGCTCAATTGGCATAATGTACTACATAAAAACATTGTTCCACATCCTACTTTGGCGAGTAGCAGCTGGGATCTTAAAAGCTTGCAAGCAGCCATCTAGATGCAGCAATGGTTCTCTCCTCGTCCAGAGCAAAGAAGAATGAAGAAAACCAAAGACACATGGAAACAATTAGTCCAAGAGACTGGTACACCATGCGATCCTCAGCCTATATGACTATGAGACCAGAAGAATTAGATGGTGCCCAGCTACCACTGTCAACCACTTGGAGGGGGATCTCTGTAGGAGATCCTGGAGAGAGAGGGAGAACAATGTGGAACAAAATTCAGAATCATTAAAAAAAAAAAAGGGGGACCAGGGTTGCTGGTCTCGCAGAGCCTGATGGAACCACTGAAACTATGGCCCCTAGCTGCCCTTCAGGTCTGGAACTGAACCCACTCCTGTGGCTCCCATCCAGCTAAACAAAAGACAGGCATATGAGCTGAACACTAACATTAGGTAGATACACCCCTTGGAGAGATCAATCATGGCAGAATAGAAGGGCTGTGTATGCACGAGGAGACAGCTCAGGGGGCAGGAGTGCTTGGAGGGAAGGACACAGGGAGGAGGTGACTATGGGGAGGAGCAGCAGGGAGCTGTTGTGGTAAATTGTGGTCAATGTCATGAGACAAAGTGTATATGAGCCACTGCATGGAAAGTGAATTTGCTCTGTAAACTTTCATCCAAATCACAGTAAAATTTGAAAGAAAAAAAAAAGATCAGGAAATCCAGTAGCGGAGTGGAAAGCAAGGCAGGCCACGCGACACTCACTAAAAATTAGAGCTCGTGTTTGTGGAGTACAGGCTGTAAGGTGAACCTCTGTTTTATCAAAGATCCCTGGATTTTCCACGTTCCCAGAATGCTAGCTAAGAACCCAGCATTTCCCACAATTCAACGAGTAGCTCGTGGGAAAATCAGACTCCCTATTGCACTGAACGGAAGAAACCAGAGAAGGGCCGACAAATGTGATTTTCTGTGCTTCTAACTGATATATAACTAAGTAAGTATCACTAAACACCACGCTGCACTGCTGTGCGCCGTCGAGTTGCATTCCACACACAGTGACCCGTGACAGAGCAGAAGGGCCCCCTGGGCTCTCCAGGCTGTAATCGTTACGGGAGCGGATGCCAGGTTTTCACTCCATGAAGCAGGGACTGCTTTCTGGTGCCACTGCTGCACCAGCACAGCAACGACTATGAGGACGGCTGGTGCAGGACCAGGCAGTGTTTTGTTCTATTTATATGAGGTCACTAAGAGTCAGAACCAACTCGATAGCACCTGGTAACAACTGACAGAAAACATAAATCACAGCTGTTCCACCCACTACCACGTGCCTCCACTCCATCTGTCCCTCTCCCAATCCAGGTCTGTGTACAGACAGATTCACGCACGCGCAATCACATACGCATCTATCTTTCAGTGCCCGTCATACCTCAGGTTCAATGTGTCTTGGAAACAGTGACGTGGTGAGGTATTTGTACAAAATTCTCATGTCATCTTGCTCTAATCCACTCCTGAAATGTCAGAAAAGCACTGTGTTAAATGTTTGGAATTGGTCTTCTTTCTACTGATTTGCAACAAAATTCATCATTGTACCAAGAAGCCCCTTTCTTGACCAGGAATCCAGAAGGGAATGAATCAGATCCTGTCCCGAAACCTGAATTTTACCCTGAACTGCTCCCCAGGTCCTTCGCCATTTTAGACTCCATTTTAAACTAAAGCCACAATGGATTTGATTCCCGGAAACATTCAGAGGCTTCAGGCTCTGAACCTGCAGTTACGGTTCTCTCAGGGTCCTGGGTTCTACGGTTACGCCACATCCTCTCACCCACCACGCTAGCAACACAGCAGCACGCTGTCGACGAGGAAGTCAGCCCCGACACTGACAACTCTAACTCTGGTTTCAGTGTTGGCAAAAAGGAAGGAGAGAAAGCAAGACAGAAGCTGTGGGGAAAAGCATCTAACCTGAAATGCGGAAAAACTGGTAAGAACTACAGGCATCAGCCTCTACTTGCAGTCAGTTTTTAAACACCACTGTGTGCCTCTGGGTTTTTCTGGTCGAGATAATGGAGGAAATCTAACTTCATATAAATCAGACCTTCACACTCTCCTCCAGAGGTGCTCTCTTCTCAGTAAGGTCGCAGGTTAGAAAAAGTCCAGGCTGTGTCAGCAAATAAACGCTACTCTGTCCCAGACCCTTCCAACTCCGTCTCTCCTTTCACTTCCTACACTGGACTACCGTTGTTCTTTCAGCTTCAAATTGTCTTGTTCCAACCACAAAGGAGCCCTACAGCCTTAAAAAGGAGCTCTGGTGATGCAGGGCTTAAGGCATTTGCCTGCTAACCAAAACAGCAGTGGTTTGGACCCACCGGCAGCTGCACGGAAGCAAGAGGAAGCAGTCTGCTTCCGTAAAGATTTACAACCTTGGAAACTCTATGGAGCAGCTGAATCTTGAACCCTATTGGGTCACCGCAAGGCAGAACAAAGTCAATGGCAATGTGCTTTTTCTCATACCCTTAGACAGGTTTGCTTTGTTCTCTACTAAGTAGAAAGAGAAATTCTAGGTCCATAGGTAAGGCCAAAAGCCAAGAAGTAGCTCAAAACCTTTAACGCGCCATCCTACAGCAACACCAACCCTACAAGTATCAGGCAGGCAACCAGGCCAACAGATTTTCCAATTCAGATATGGAAAGTTACCAGCTTTTTTCTCTTGCCAAAATAAGTGAGATACGTGGAGATAAAGAAGGAAATAAACAAAACAGGTTCTGCACACTATTCTCCTTTTAAAACATAAGTAAAAAGTACTGGGAAAAAGGAGATGATAAGCAGAAGACAAGAGGTAAAGAATGACAGGCTGGGCAACTCACAGGCTAGCTTCCTTGGGCGGTGACAATGGCTTTTAGGCACTGTGCCTCCTGAGCACATGAGGTGTGGCTGGTCAAGGTGACTATGAAATATACAAAGGATTTCAAAGGCTTAGCACAAGAAGAAAACAGCTCATTAGTAGATTTTTACTACTGCTTACATGTTGAAACATTTTACATACACTGGCTTAAATAAGGAGCACAGTGTACAGTGGTTAAAGCATTCAACTGCTAACCAAAACAGTTGGCGGTTCAAGCCTACCAGCTGCTCTGTGGAATAAAGATGAGGCAGTCTGCTTCCGTGAAGATTTACATACAGCCTTGGAACCCCTATGGGGCAGCTTCCCCCTGTCCTCTAGGAGCACTGTGAGTTTGGTTTTAGGTTAAATAACACATCATTAAAATGAATTTCACCCATTTCTTTTTATTTACACATGTATATTAGAAAATATAAAAAAAACAGGCAGACCTCAGAGATACTATGAGTTGGGCTACAGACCACCACTATAAAGCAAACAGAGCTATAAAAGCAAGTCCCACAAATTTTGTGGTTTCCCAGTGCACCTAAGTTATACTTACGCATTACAGCCTGTTAAGTATGCAACAGCGTGATGAAAAGTTTGAAATACCAAGACACAACAGACATGAAGTGAGCACGTGCTGTTAGAAAAAGGGCACTGACAGACTAGCTCAACGCAAGGTTGCCACAAACCTTCAATTCGTAAAACAAAAAAAAAAATAAAAACAAACCCACAGTATCTACAAAGTGCAATAAAGCCTGCACATGTGTGGCCTGCACTGTATTCCTAAGGGATAGCACTGCTCGGGACCACAGGATGTGGAGCAAGTAACTATGAAAGGAAACGGAGACATATTTACTGTGTTCACCACACCCAGGGCCTTATTTCACTGAAAACCTGCTATCATCAGGTGCCCTCGATTCTTGACTGCCAGCAATCTCAACGTGACAGCAGAAATGCCCCAGGGGGCTTTCCAGCCTATCGTCTCTATGGGAACAGAGTGCCAGGTCTTTCCCCTATGGGGCTGCTGGGGGGAGGTTTGAACCACCAACCTTTCAGTTACCAGCCAAGGGCTTAACCATCGTGCCATAAGAGCGCCTTACTTAAAAACTGCTTTAGGAAAAAAAACAAAAACCACCTTACCACCATCGAGTTGATTCCGACTCATAGCGATCCTCATTGGGTTTTTGAGGCTGTAAATCTTTATGGAAGCAGATTGCCCAGGCTTCTTTCTACAGAGTGGCTGGTGGGTTTGAACCACCAACCTTCCAGTTGGCAGTCAGATACCTTAGGCACTGTGCTACCAGAGTTTCTGAGACCTATTAGGCATTAATTATTTCAGGGCTGACTTTCACGGTATAAATTAAAAAATAAAAAACAGAGGGCAGTTGAGGCCAGCTGTTCAGAGCACAGAACGTCAGAGGTCGATGGGCTGTTTGCTTATGTTGCCCGCTCTCCACTCACTCTGGCCACAGCGGCTCTCACCTCTGTCATCCTCCAGTCTCACTCCCTCACCCCTACACACATAAATGAAGCAGTACTGCAGTACAGTCATACACACTGTCACAGGAAAGCTTCCTACAACTGCATGTGAACCTTCAATAATCTCAAAATAAAAAGTAAAAAAAAATTATATAATTTCTTCCTTAGTGCAAATAAACAAACATAGACAAATCAAGCAAAACCTCCCACAGACAAGCCCGAACACTTCAGATCCACCCGCGGTTCCTCTCCTACAGGAGTCAGCCCACTAAGGCTCAGATGGGCCGGTGTGCTCCAAGTCCCTCAAACACAGTAACTTAATATAAATAGTTTTTCCTTTTACAAAACCCAAAAACTTTTCTTCCACTTAAATCACAACTGATTCTTTTCTATGAAAATAAGACAGTATTTTGCCTACAAGAAAGACCAGTTAATACTATTACTCAAATTTACCTACTCACTACTAAAGCCAAAGACAAAGACATGAAAGATCTTTACCGACTTCTGCAGTTTGAAATTGACCAACCACGCAGCCAAGATGCACTGGTAACTACTGGTGCTCGGAACACTAAAGGTGGAAACAGAAGCATCAGCAGTTGGAAGACACAGAAGTGATGCTGGAGATCACACGACAGAATTTTTGCAGGACCAAGGACTCGCTCACTGTAAACACCTTTCTGAGCGACATAAATGCAACCATGCACGTGGAGCTCACCAGATGGAATACACAGGAATGGAACTGACTACATCTGTGCAAAGAGACAATGGAGAAGCTCGGTAATCTCAGTCAGAACAAGGCCAGGGCCCGATTGTGAAACAGACCAGCAATTGCTCATTTCCAGCTTTCAGATGACGAGCTCACAAGAGCCAAAATATGAGCTTGAGTGCATCCCACTTGAATCTAGAGACCATTTGAAGAAAAGATTTGATGCACTGAACACTAACAACTGAAGACCGATTTGTGGGATTACATCAAAGACATCATACGTGAAGAAAGCAAAAGGTCATTAAGAAGACAGGAAAGGAAGAGAAGACCAAAATGGATGTCAGAAGAGACTCTGAAACTTGCT